TGTTTGAAAATTTATGAGATGTTGTTTGTTCAAATATTATATTATATTTGGATTAAGCGCTGCGAATGACAAATGGTTTGATATAATAACTGTGTTTACCACTTGAATGTAATATTTCATACGTCTGAAATTTACATGTTGACGTCATTTGAATGCAGAATGCTTTTTTAAAACGGGTTTATTTTACTGTATTAAACCGTAAATGATTTACAGCTAATTTTGCAGCGTTTACACGATAAACAATAATACATGCTTTGTACTTCATAATTTGAGTTGCATTTTAATTTCAAATTAATTATTATTTCGCGATTTAATGAAAGCAAACCAATAATAAATGTGTTATATATGTGTTACATTAATGTATCTAATTAAAGTGACTCGGTGTTACCGAATGAATCAATCCTAGTATGTGGATCTAATTTTCATTGTCATTTTAAATGTTTCCCTAGAGGTAAAGATTTGATTATGTACATTTCTTCCATTACCCTGTGAACGATATAATCCGTAATATTTCGTGTTATAATTCTAATTCAAGATTCATGATGCTCTCATTATTTTCCTATTCGAAGATATGGATTCTAATAGCATTCCCGTAACCTGTATTCATTTTGTAATTTTTACGGTGTAAATTGTAAGAACCATTTTCTCTAGAGAGAGAGGAAATGAATGATCAAGATAGGAGGAATCTAAAATCATAACCAACCTTTAACCGCATTGATGGCGTATGAATTTAATGATTCATAACTTTGTTCACAAGCAAACCTATAGTTAGCTATGAGTCCAGTGTCACCGAGAGCTCGCCTTAGACGCTGAGTTGGCAGATTAATTAGCTTATGTGTCACATGGACAAGAACGCGATGAACGGAGGAACGTATCTTTAAATACCACAAGGTTTTTTCAAGATTCCCAGTTGGGATTTCTTTCAAATTACATTGGAGATGCACTTATTCTTTTCTTTTAAAAGTGCCATACTCCGTTTTTTATACTGTATCCTTATATTACTGCTACAACCTTCATTACTGAATACTTGAGGTATGAGATATGACTCTGACCGGAGATTTCGAACAAATATGTTTTCTTGATTTTGTGTCCATACGATCGGGACGATCTTCCAGAAAGAGGGGAATTGTCCGGTTTCATCTGGCGTCTCATTATAATCATTATAATTATATTATATGATTAGATCATATGTAATTGGGACGTAATATTCACGTGACCTGATAGAGATTGATGGAAAAGGACTAGACATGAATCAGCATCTGGAAGATATCACGTGATAGATCACACGATCAAGACCTTAGTTGTGGGCGGAAGCCGATGTCTATATAGGGCAGGGAACCTTGGTAAGGTCCGTATATTAGTTGATAAGCGCTTCGCGATGTAACGCGTCGCGGATGAGTTCTCCGATCTTACGGTCGACGTCGTAACCTCTACCTGCAAATCTTAACGCTTGTATTACCACCCAGTATATCAAGATATATTATCTAGAAAGCTGTGTCTTACTTATCCTTCACGAATATAGTCATGTATCCCGATTCTCAGGTAGCGCTTAATAAATGATCACGGACACTACATCTCCAAGCAAAATTTGCCACTGATTAAACGTCCAAATTTACCACTGGACTAATGCTTGATGTAATTCTGCGATGAACGGCAGGCATTATCTTATCATTAACTTTCGAATTGTCTCCATAGAAGATATGTTGAAGATATGTAAATTTTTTTTAGCTTATGAAAGACTTGCTTTGAGCATAAAGAATGTTTCAATCCCCAACCGACCTGAATTTCTAGGAGAGCTGCTAAGCTTAGCCTACCGTCATGTATATGGTTTCAGGTCATACAAAATTTTTTGTTCTGTATTTAAACCCCGTGACACCCTTTTATTTAAAGATTTGGCCAAAATTAGAGACCTGATCATTTGTAGACCTGATAGAGGCAGGGGGTTGTATTGGTCGATCGTAGCCGGTACAACAGTTGCCTTACTAAATTTATTATCGATCCTTCTAACTTCGTTGAAATTACAGACCCAATTTCTAAAACAATTTTGAAAATTGGAGACAAAATTAATAACTTCTTGAGAAAACTTGAAGATTCTTCTGCCTTTTCACCGGAAACTTATTCTAAATTTTACACCTCTGGTTTATGTCCTGGTATTTTATATGGTTCGCCCAAAATTCATAAGTGCGATTTTGCCTCTAAGTTTCAATTCCGGCCAATTTTTCCGGCCTAGCAATTCCGGCCTAGTTAAACTTGCTAAGTTTTTGGTACCGGTTTTAAACTGTCTCACGACTAATAAATAACTATACTGTAGACAATTCTTATACGTTTGTGGAGCGCCTGAAGGATTTTACCAACGTTCAGGACCTAACTATGGCCTCTTTTGACATGGAAAATTTATTCACTAATGTGCCTCTTCATGAAACCATAGATATATGCCTGAATTCTTCGTTTAAGGATGTAAATGATTTCGTTACAGGTTTGAAACGTAATTTTCAAAATCTCTTGAAAATATCTGTTTTAAACTCTTTTTTCATATTTGCTAAAAAGTTGTACCAACAGATTGACGGTTTGGGCATGGGTCTTCCGCTCGGTCCAACCTTTGCGAATATTTTTATGTGTTTTCACGAGGTTTCCTGGCTGTCCAATTGCCCTCTTGATTTTAAGCCAATATTCTACAACAGATACGTTGATGACACTTTTTTACTTTTCAAGCATCCCTGTAACGTTAAACTCTTTTTCGATTACCTAAATTCGCAACATAAATCCATCAAATTTACTATGGAACTGGAATCTAACAATACCCTGTCCTTCCTCGACTGCAATATTACTAAATCTAATGGCCGTTTTCAAACTTCTGTATTCCGAAAATCGACGTTCACAGGTCTCAGTACCAGCTTTTTTAGCTTTTGCTCGTTTCGATTCAAGATTAATGCAATTCAAATACTTTTACATCGGGGCTTTCGTATTTGTTCTACTTACAATATTTTGCACGCTGAATTTGAATTTCTACGCAATATCTTTTCGCTTAATGGATTTCCGACTAATCTGGTATTTACCCAAAATAAAGAAATTCATGTTTAAGCGGTACAATGAGGTTGCTGTAATGGTATAGACTCCAGTTATAAAGAATATATATTAATCGAAATTGTTAAAGTAAAAACTTATTAGGATTTTTTTAATACTCAATTATTCAAATTATTTTCAGTCATAGCAAATTCTTTAATACAGGATTATCACGCTCATATTTTCGTAGAAAGTGCACTTTGCGTTTTGTGGGGTTCTGCACCTGTGTGCGATAGTTCTCGCGTCGTTTATAGTTTTTCAAAAAAGGAGAGATACGAGCGGGAGAAGAGATAGCATCGAGAGAGAGAAGAGATCATCAGACGTGAGAGGTTGGAAGGGAAGTTGTGCCAATTTTTCCCATCTCGAATTGTGAAGTCCATTCGTTTATGGATACTACCCGATTGAAGTACTGAATAGTTGAAACAATAATCGCCAACATCCACCTCATGCCATCTGGTTGGTGTAGTGATAATGATGCATTGCGCATAACATCGTTCTATTATCTCTAAATTTGTTTGTTATCTGCAACCCGCCAGCAAGAGAATCCTGAAAACAGTCAGCAAAAGAATCAGTTGTGCTGGAATTAATACACTAACAATAGTGCCAGCGAACAGTTTCCCAGGAGACAAGTTAGTAAAGGAATCTCTGGCATTCCCTGGACTTCAACCATGGTTGCAGAGACGGCGTAGAGACGTAACACGTACGTCATTGAACGTTGGTACGTTATTCGTCGAAAGTTTTTTAGGAGTTATAACGATCTTGTATTAGGGTTCAAATGTACGATTCAGGTTAGCCCATTTATTTATCTTAACGGAAAACGATCCGTGCAAATTAGGATGTGTTTTTTGCCAAATTTTTTCCATTAAAATATTAACTTCAGATTCTTCCACTGTGCACCTCATATTACTAGCTAATTTACAACGCAGTGTACAGTAGACTTCCGCGATTACGGTCAGTACATGGTACTGGTTCCCCGCTACATGTATTTAATGGTGCCGTGACCAGGATGTAAATTGCCTCTAACTAAGTTAAGTAACTCTAACAGACCCGAGCGCGACGGTAGGGATGTTGTTTATTGCTCCTTTCCATATTTCGGTCCTGCATCCGAAGCTATGCCAAGGGAGCTAAAACTTTTGTTTTCGAAGTATTTCACAAATGTTAATCTTCGTATCACATTGGTCAACCATTTTAAAATCGGTTCTTTTTTAGCTACAAAGATACTCTCCCTATGCATATGCGATCGTCCCTAGTTTATAAATATAGTTGTGCACGGTGTGCATCTGCGTACGTCGGGATGACGTCTCGCAATCTTTATTCTAGGGTCGCAGAACATAGGGGCAGGAGTTGTAGAACTGGTAAGTGGTAACTTCCTGTCGCGCCTACCTCATTCGGCTGCATGTACGGGCTCACGCCGAGCAGTGCGATGTTCCAGTTTCTGACAGTGACTTCAAAGTTTTAGCTTCCAGTTCCGGTGTTTCTGATTTGCGCATTTTAGAATCATTGTATATTTTTAGACAGAGGCCTAGTTTGAATTTAGCTTTTAGCTCTTACCCGCTTGAAATTGTAAATAGATAGGTTTTACAGCTTAGGGTTTTTGTTGTAATTTTGACTGTACTAATTACTGATTTATCTGTGTTCTAAAATTTTCGAACTGACGATTGAGCTGGACTCCGAAACGTTTTCTTTAAAGATACTAATGAAATTTTGTGGAGTTTTCTTTGCTTTTAAGTTTTTAGTGAATTTGCGATTCAAGCAAGCCAGTGACATTATTACGAAGATATGTTGATAACGCATAGGAAAGTTCAAATGGCTGTTCGTTTGTTCATACTAAATGCAGTAATGGACATCCTTCACAATTTTCACATTTTTTTTTACTCAATTGCAATTGCCTTAAACCGCATTTTTTCAATACATAAATAAAAAGTTTATTACTATACCTGAATAAATAGAGGAAAGACTTGTGTAGAGCACTGGGGAGCCGTCGCTCCAGCTGAACTTGCCATCAGAAGCCGTAACTTTCAGTCCAATGTGATAAAAACCGTAGTAATCTGTAAAAGAGTAATAGTTGTCAGAGAGAACTGCTTGAACTTGGTTAGAACCATTTTTCGATAAATGTCAGGAACACAAACACGTAATACGATAAATGGATATGCACAATTTATCCATCATAAGTTGACTACTTGAAATATAAACGTCCACTCAGTGTTTGAGATTCGCGTTGCGATCCAGAGGCCAGATAATAGCACAGTCTTCGATGTAGGTATCTGATCTAGTTTTCTCCGCTTCTTAACGTATGAGCCTCTGACTCTGTAATGTGACAAGACTCGGACGCAAATACTTGCGTTCAGTCACACTAACTCTGTGACATGAAGAGGCCGACTTATTTTGTTTCCATCATTCCCTCTCAAAAATCTAATTTAAATCAAATCGTTCCAGAAATTTACTGTGAAAGTACGACATTAACTATTTTCTTGATCGAAAATAAACCCATAACCCTATATTATTAGAGTACCTACAGCGGTAGAATGGCAACATCATAAAATCGCTGACTGACCGATTATATAAAATAACATCACATCGACAATAATTACTATTTCACAGCACTATTCTCGAACATAGGGAACCATTCAGCAACACCGTCTACTATAATTTACTTTTGGATGACATCCTTCATAATAACTTACTGAAAGTTGGGCCCAGCGAAACAAACTAAACGCCCCATAATAGTTAGGAATTAATAACATTAGTTAATAAAAAAATAATTGCACGACCACGATCTGAATATTATCCCGATAAAAACCATCTGAGCGTATTGAATATAAAGACAGTCTTAAGATGCTCAAAGGCGAGTGGAATGAATGGTATAATTTTAGAAATTATTACACCGGGAAACTATCAAGATCATACAATCGTAGAAGTAGTGGATATCGTTAGACACGAGGAATAATTCAAGAGCAGGTAATCTTTTCAAGAAAATGCGCATAATGATAGATGATAAAATTAAGGAGTCTATCCTAAGTTTACGAATATATGCTCGTATCTCTTCAACCGGTAGATGCGTGTTGCATCATATTATTAGTATTAGATGGCAGAATTAGCTTGTTTGAAGAAGGGCGGTTAGTGACCGAAGAATTCAATAATAATAATATAATAATAATAATATTAATAATAATAATAGCGGTTTCAGCGTTAATTAGGCCGTAGGCCTGTCGCCGATTCTTAACATCGCAGAACATTCATAGCTTGATGCGGTCTCGAACTCGCAACTCACTGCTACAATTCTGCTGTGCTTAACCGCCCGGCCTCCTCGCCGATTCTGACCAGAAACTGGCGCACAGAGCTGGGATCGAATTAACCCGCGCCTCTCTGCGCCAATCTTGGTAATCTGAACTTTTAAACACTGGGCCACCCTGCCAAATGTCCTAATTTTTTTCATGGTCGAACCTTCAGAAGACGTAGGTTAATCGAAATGCAGGCTTAGGAAGTAATCTAAATTCAAATAAAGTAATCCGTAACGATCAAAATCTCATCACTCAATGAGTCTCGTAACTTGATAGTAAATGATTGTTGCATTCGAATCGTTGTTCATAAATTTGAATTACATCCTAAAACCTGCATTGTGATCAACCAACGTCTTATGAAGGTTCGACACCGAAAAAATTTCAAATAATGAATTTTCAGGTCGTTAACAGCCCTTGTTCAATCAAATAATTATACATGACCCTAGATTTGTATGTGGTCGCACTTCTGAATGCGATGAGTGTGAATATCAAATGCTGGCAAGCTGCCAGCATTTGTCTTTGTGTGTGCAGTGCCACTAATAAATAGTAGATATTAATGAGAAGTGGTACAGACTGGCCAGAAAGAGGAAAGATAAATTAGAAATAGACAGAAAAATGTAACTCAGTACTCACTGCTGAGAGTGACAGAGAGCGCATTCTCTCGTCCGTCCGTGACGTGAGGTTCCGGCGGACAGACAGACGGACATGTCGAGCACAATAGCGCATTTTTTCCATAAAGGAGAAAATGCTCTAAAAACGGGACAATCGGCTTCCGCTTAAATAACTTTGGGTGCTATGTAAAGAGAGGTGATTTGTGGATAATGATTGAATTATCTCCACCATAAACCTATTCAAGTACTACCAATACGACGATGAGGTGTATTTTCAATCCACAATTATTCATCCGTTTCCCATTTTTTAAATTTATTTAGTTTAATTTAATATTTTATTCCTGTTCGAAAGAGAAAATATGACGATAGTGATAACGGTGATGACCATGAGCATGAATTATTGTGAGATCAAGGGAAGACTTACCATTTAAATGACTATAGAGGAAGTTATTTTCGTCTGCCGATAAGATGGACGTAAGGTGGCCACCAAATTCTTGGCATTTAGCCGATGCGTCTTCGTAGTTCAGTGTAGGAAATTCCTCCTTATGCTGACTGTCATAATAGCAATAACCGCCGTAAAACTCCCAGCCAGGATCACAGCCAACAGCATGAGCTGGGAATATTTTAAATTATTGATCATTATCTTCAGACAAAAATTTGTTCACAAAATATCAATAAATTTAAAGTATCATTGAAAATACTGAAATTTACCCATTTTACATATTAACTATTTTCTGATAAATGATAATAAATGATAATACTTATTATCATTTATTTCAGATAATCTTAAACACGACTTGATTCAAATAAAGTAACGCACTTGCACTTACATTAAATCCTCTGCAGTTGAGGGATTTTGATGAGAGACAATGAATGTATTCGACTTATTTTGGGCAGGAAATGTACAGAAGTGCAAATCCTAATATCGATTATTTTCCGGTGGTCAGCAAGAGGAGTGAAAATAATTTCTGGAAAACAATCTAATAAAAGATGTAACCTCGTGTTTGGTCAAATCATCCTCCTTCATATGCGGTTAGTAGTTGTCTGGCCAAATTATCGTTCAATGAAATCATAACAGCACATAGGCATATCTGGATAGACCAAAATACAAATAGTTGTAATACGTAATGTCATGCTTAAATGATATCATATGATTCAAGAGGCAGAGACTTGAGGGAATTTGTATGTTTGATAAGTGAAGGTGGGCCTAATTTTTTACTTACCTCTTCAGACGAGTGCGACTTCCTGCCTAGCTGAGTTATCCTTCCCCGAGTCAATGGAATTTCATACGAGTAAATGGAATTTCAATTCGACACAGTGAACAAAAATCGTTGAATTATGATGTTAATTACCGGAGACGTGAATGAATCTTGACTTGCATTACCCTCATTGACCGTGTTCGAGATTGGAGCAAATATCTCGCTGAGAAGGCAGTTAAATTGATCGAATAGCCACTGAATTTCAGCTAATTGCACCGATTGGTCCTTGTAAAGAAAGGTATTGCAGTGCGATTGGTGATTAATTGATTGAGCATCGCTCTATTTATTTTGTTAATATATTGCATTTGATAAGAATGTGTTGGGAACTGTTTTCAAGGACCCTTGATGCGCTCCTATCGACTGCAATATTTATGTTGAGCCATGCAATAAGCGTATATAAATTCGATTTGTACCAGTGACTTCAATATTCTTACTTGGGAAAAACTCGCAAGCGAAGTGATGCGAGCCGTTACAAGGATAGTTGTCGATGTAACCGTAATTGGAGCTTTCCGGATTTGAATCAGTCAGGGCGCACAGCTCGGTGTCGTTGTGGTCCGGCTGTCCAGGCCTCCAGTTGATGTAGTCGTCAGCCGAGCCATCCGTCCATTTCCAGGCCTCGCCCTCCTCGAACCGCAGTCCCAGCCACGTCAGATCGATCGAGTCGTTGATCAAACCTTGGATTTGATACATTCAAGAAACTGTATCCCGATCAACTAACTTGCTGTTGAAATGGAGCTAATTTGATACGTACATATTAAAATTACATTTATATCGATCGCAACCAAACCTTCAAAGAATAAGGATTAGTATCAGGGCAACCGTTTTCCTTCCCAAGTTCGTTTTTTATACTTCAGTGTGAAATTTTACTTTCATTATCATGAAAGTTTGTAAATTTCCTTCATTCGACAGATTGTTTTTTATACATGTACTGGTAATTATTTTCAACATTGTCATATTATGAGCGAGACAAATCTAGCGCAAATGCCTGAAAAAAATTATCTCTTCTGCCACCAATTTGTTGCTTTAGATGCAACACTCAAGATAAAATAATAAAAATTTAAAAGGCCAGGGAATATGACCTACGGCAACCTCATCTTGCGCGTAATGGACACCACAACAACATCCATCACCTTGTACGTAATGGACATTGCGACAACCTCACCTTGCACGTATGACGGGATGCTCATTTCGTGGTATATTTTTTTTTGTTTACTTGTACGTTCTATTAATCCTGTGCTAGGTTAGTGACTAGTAAATTGTTGTAACATTTATTTTGTGACTGAAATAAGGAACCTCATGTAACTGTGATATTATTATTTTGTTAACTAAAGGGTTTAATTTATGGCTAATTAATGTGTAAACGAATATTTATTTCGTGACCGTAATATGGAATCTTGTCAAGCTGTGGTGTTTGTAGGATTTAGCGTCTTGGAACGAGACAAGGTGTAGCTCCAACGTGATTGGTCGAGCTGCTCCTAACCTCGTTATAACGCGCGCTAGGCAGTCGTGAACGATGGAGAGTTTGGTCTCTTTGGAATTAGTTTAAGATTATTAGATTTTTGACTGTGATTAGATTGCCAAATGATTACAAATATGTTGACTTTATTGTATTATATTATACTATCTATTTTTTTGCACTTAGGAAGGGTTACAGTCTGTTTTGTACATTGCAAACAGTTGTTGAAGTAAGCTCATTTTGGCTGGGTTACCCCCTCGTTGTGTGCACTCGGAAGTAGTGTGTGCTCAGTGGTGCTGGGTTGGGGTGACACGGTTTCGACTCGAATCAGGCAGAGCCAAATTTGGGCTTCCATGAATAAACTCCACCGCAGTTCTGGGCATAACTCTTAATGAGTTCTACTAACGGACTAACAACGGCATAGGTGGAGTTCATGGATAGTTCCAGGTTTTGGCTGCGTTGGGCGGTTAACAGCCGTTCAAATCGCAACCTCGAGGTAGAGGCTAATAACCTCTGCACGACAACCTCACCTTGCACGTAATCAACCTCCGCCTGGGAATGCCAGCTCAGTAGTGTCGCATCTCCCTCCACTTCCCTGCACTTGTCGAGCGCAATGTCCCATGTCTCGCTGATCGTGCTGATGTAATAACATTTGTTGTCATGCAGCGACCAGCCTTCAGGGCACGTCTCTGGGGAAGAATTCACTGTTTGAGAACTCAAAAGGAACAGTCACGCAGTGAAAAAATAAGGCCTGATGATACTCGCAATCTCATTTATGGGATATAGATTTTAATTTGAAGCTATTTCATTTTAAAGCTAACGTTATTACGCTAACGAACACAGCAAAAAAAAATACTATAGTGAGTGCTTAAATGCTGAAGTGATGCTATCGAGAAGAAAAGATTGCAGCTATATAATCAACTCTACAGCTGGTAACAAAATTATTCATACAACTCATTATTTTCAATGTTATCTCGAATAGCTCAAAAATTTATGGATGTATGAACCTAAGATTTAATTGAACTAATCAGTAATGTAAAATTTCCCAAAACCTTCAAATACAATTATTCGTACAGTTGGAAAATACCCACATAGTAGCAATATTAATAATCAAAAGCATGTCCTTTCAACTCAATAATCTCCTGCAGTCTCTTTCTATAGTTTTGATGAGGTTCGCAGGAGTGTCCGGTTGGATATCATTCCATTCTGCAATTGCGACATGTTTCGACTTCGGGCAGTTCGTGGGAGCCCGATTATTGATATTAATTTTGAATTCTTGCCGTAAGTTCTCAATCCGGTTCAAGTCGGGGCTATTTGCTGGCCATGGAAGAACAGTAATCTTCGTTTTATTAAGCCAAGTGCTCGTAGCTCTCAACATATGCTTCAAATCATTCATCTTGCTGAATGAGCCATCGTCGTCCAAGATCAAATTCAGAGCGGATGTTTGCATGTACAACTTCAAATCGATGTAAAAACATCTGAGTTAATTATTCTATCAATTGGAACTAACTTCCCGATGTCACCTAAAGGAAAAACAACCCCCAAAACATATTTGACCAGCCTCCATGCTTGATTTTTGGTATTGTGGTCTTCGGAAGGAAAGCTTCTCTTCTTTCTGACGAATCTTCTTCGTGTAATGTCCATATAACTAAATTTTTGTTCCGTAACACCATAATACTTCGTTTAAAAAGCCTTCCACTTAAGATCTTGCGAATGTCACACGAGCAGCAATAAGACCTCGTGTGTAAAGTAGTACACGTCGAGGTCTGCGTCCATGCAGACAATTCTTGTTGAGACAACGCTGTATGGTACGCTGACTCAGTCATGTTCCTTCAGTGGCTAATCTATTGGCAATGTTCTGCAACACCACTCTTGGATTCATGTGTATCTCACGACATGAATGAACTGACGTCCAGCTCATATCTTGCATAATATAGAAGATATTTTGATTATCAATTCGACAGCGTAATATAACTCACTGAATTGTGTTTTACAAACGAAGCGATCTTCGCTATCGCAGGGCATGTCGTTCCATTGCCCTTGGCCTCCCCCTGCATATGAGAGCATCATCTGAGCGAGGAAAAAAAAACGAAATATTATAATATAATTCAAATCTGGCTCTAGAGTCTGTAGATATGTTAATAAGCAGGCACACGAGGCAACTTTTTCATAGCTTTTAAACGTAACATTTGTAAAGAAGCTTACTTGTTGGTAGTACTGACCTGAAGTGTTGCTTCGGGTGCTGTACCACTATATATAGCGCGTGGTACAATTATATGCATGATATGCACCCCGTAAACAAATCTTGCGTAGATATTGGGCCATTAATCATGATTTTTTTATTTCGAGCATTCAATATTGATTAGAGCAATCAGATTTCGCAGCCTTCCAATAATTTTAAAAGGCAAATACGGAATTCGAGTAAAGAAATTGACTTTTTTGGAGCGAGGGTAGCATACCTCTACACAGTCCTCCAGTCCAAATTGGTTGTTAGGTTCCCCGGGATACCAGTTTGTGTAGGTGATCAAGTCCCCATTCACCCACGATGTATAAGATCCATTGTCCAGGGCGATGAGGCCAATCCAAGTATTTTTATAACCGTCTTGAATGGAATCTAAAGAGCAGGCAAATTTGGATATTAGTGCACGTAAAAATGGCGGTCGAAATTCTAAATTTTTACTTGAGAATTTACTACGTTCTGAAAAACCTCTTCCCTTCTATTAACATTGAATAAGCACAAATTTTTACGAACTCCTCTATTTATTCACCACCTATACTCTCAATATTATCAGTCCTTCCATGACCGAAGTAAGAGCTTCAATTGGACAGCCTTTAGTGTGTTTCCACACTTATACTCGTATATGAGAAACGTTAATCCCATAAAAGGCAAAAAAAATTTTTCGTAATTTAAACTCTTCAGTTTCATGATCACTTAGGTAACCCTAATCGTCTCGGATACAAGTTACAAACTTATGCCAAAGTGATACCTCCTAGTTATTTTTTCATTCGAAATACGATGACATCCTTTTGCTAGGAATTGAAATACAATCCAAATCTGTCTTCAAACGCACAATTGACAATTTAAACACTCAACGCGGTATAGGTACTTTTTGAAGGTGCGAGTGAGTCAACCAATCAGAGCGTTGCAATGCACCACTGCAGCAATGACCGATTGATTCCCAACGGAATCTTCAAAGCAAATTTTTAGAACTAATCAGCATATTCATAATCAACTGGCCGAAAACATTAAGCGTAACCCGTCCAAATGATTGGAGACCACTAACACACCTCACTTGAGGAGTATTTTGGCAGACCAGCCTGCAAGATTTGTTTTTATCATTGCATGCAGTCAATTAGAAATACGCAGAGTTCGTTTTCGCATGTCCGTAAACATTAATTTTCTACTTTTTTCTTCATTTTGTGCATTTTGAATTTTTGCAACACTGCTTTCGATTTTATCGTCAATACCATTATCGCCTGCGAAGCCCTATTTGTTAATTCAACATTGTTACAATAGTATTTTTTCATTATACAAATAGAATCTCATTCTCAATACAAAAAGTTTGCACACATGAGCAAAAGTTATTGACAGTAGTATATGATATTAAATCCTTGACTTGTAAAAAATAATACATTATATGCAACTAAAATTTTCATCTTACAGAAGCTGCAATCCTGCAAACATTATGGTTTCGATAAAGTGAATATCGAAATATAACATTCACTCTTTATCTTATAACATACTATATAAACGCTAAAAAATCACGATAATTTTCAAAGCGTCCTCGTTTTTCTTCAAGTACACATCAGAAGTCTCAGAAACCAGAAACAAAATAAATATAGATCAAACTGCCAGTAAGCTAGATTTCAACTTGATCCGCTGATTCGATTCAAATTATAATATTGCTAGTAAAATATTTGAGTAATATCTTTAATTTGATATATTTATAATGCAACACCACGAGAAAAAAATTTTTGTAAATAAGTAAAGAATGGTACAACTAGAATGAAAAAATTATTTCTTACCCAATGTATCAGTTACCAGTCGTTTCAATATTTTTGTGTCATAAACACATCTCGATCTGCTTTTGACTGAACGAGTTAGCACAAATTTTTTTAATGTCGGCATGATTTATAAACAGTACCGTATTCTGGTGCCAATCGTAATCCAGGCCAGTCAACTTTTACAACTTTTATAGAAATACTACATATTATTTATACATCTATTGGCAAAAAGTGAAAACTGGATTCTCTGGAATACTAAGACTACTATTATTCGAGCATTACTTCACAATTTCTTACCCAAAATAAATTTGTTCTCATCTTCACTCATGATGGAAGTGAGTGAGCTACCATACATGTCAGCACAAGAACCTCTGGCGTCTGACCAATCCTTTAGCTCCGATGGGGAGGATATGTAGTAGCAGAACTCGTTGAAAAACTTCCAACCAGCGGGGCACTCTGCAATATAAAACCACACATGTTGATGTGTGAAAATATGATTTACTGGTATTTATATGAAAGCTCATGCAACAGCTGGAAAATTTATAATGATGAATATGAAAATTTTAAGTCATTTTTACTCACCTGATAGAATTGGCGGAGGAGTTGGTGACTTGTAGTCAAGTCCTGAAAAATATATAGATTAAAAATCCACAGCATAATAAATGCTGTACAAATGGAGGCTTGACTTTATAACTTTTTCGTTTGTATAATAGATTTGATATTTTGTTTGATTCAAAGGCTAGCTTCTTTGTTTGCAGGGCAAATTTCCTTAAATGAGAGGGAAGTCTACCATGAAATGATATTTAATTTGATATTTCTGCAATACAGTAGACAGAGCCGAGATCAACAAAGATCATGCAAAAATAGTGTAGGATACATCTGATTCACATTTTATAAGGATGGGCCAAGAAACTAATGAATACTTAGCTTCAAGGCACCTTGAAATTTTGGTTCAAAATATGATATGTTTTCTGATGAGGAGTTCAAAGTCTGTTTCCGTTTTGAGTCACGATATTAATTGTCTGACATCACAATTCCATAATTGCTAGTTATCCATGATCAAATTGAATTGTTTTCCAATGATAGAACAAGATTCACGAACACTCTCCTGGGCAATTAATGAATACGATTTGGGAAGTCTTATCAGCACTTTGAATTCCACGAAATGTTAATGCACATCTATCGAATTAATTTATTTACATGTATTGAGGAACTAATTCATATATATATATATATTTGCAAAACATTCTTTGAATATTCAAATTCTCTCCAGAAATATTTTTTGACAGTCTCCTAATAAAACTTTTTAATCTGAAACATATATCGGCGAGTAACTTATAAAAATTTCAAATGTTTGAAGCGGTACAAGATTTCAAAATTCACAACAACATTTAAAATACGCGGCTCACCTTTCTTTTCGCAAACGAACGGCAATCTGAGCGTGCAGTCGCAATCATTCCATTTGTATGTCCCATCGTTTAACATTTCTGAACAGAATGAATCGTGATATTCGTTAATTGGGATGTACATATAGATAGTAAAAATGCGTGAAGGATATGAAAGTCAAGCTGATGAACAATTTTCAGCTCCTGGGAATCTGAACAGTTGAATTACACGCAACCCGAAAAGAAATTGGAAAAGTAATAGCGGTTCTAGGGTTGATTAGGTTGCTACACTAGGCGATTCCTAACATCACAGAACATTCACGGCTTGTTGCGGTCTCGAACACACAACTCACTGCTTCAATTTTGCGTTGCCTAACCGCCTGGCATCCTCGCCGATTCTGACCAGAATTATCGCACAGAGCCTGGATCAAACCCGCACCTCTCTGCTCTAATCCTGGTACTCCGAACTGTAGTCACTGGGCCACACCAAATCGATTCAAGCATCGACCATAAAAGACGAGTAAAAAATAACTATTTTTTCCAGTTCATGATTTTATTGACTCGGGTTCTGGGAATGTTTTCTCCTTAAACCTGCAGGCTCCAATTAAAAGGAGTTGTTCTGGGGCCATATCTTTCAAAACTCGCTAAGTGAACGTAAGTCTTACGTTCTATTTTTCTTGTCTATGTTTAGTGGATTTGGCTTAAAAGGCCGTCAATGATTGGCGGATGAACTTACGATCTCTTAACTTTTTTTAAAAGTATAGGCCCTGGTCAATAATAAACCAGGATATAGAAGGAGTTAGTCCAGAGAGTGAAGATGCACCGCTGAATTTGGATCTTTCGGCCAGGAGCAGTTCTAAAAGCGAATAAGTTATCATCACAGAGCAGCATGTTCAAATGTTTTAGAAATAGAAATGTTTTAGAAAAGTTAGAAATAGACAAAATAAAAAGAATAAAATCTGGCTAGTTGTTTATGAGCCGAAAATGTCTTCAAGTATAGGTGGGGAATTTGCTTGCTAGTTAACTCAGCTATTTCATGCTGCGATATCAATGTTAGACAACACATGGCGTCATTTGCGTTAGAAAGTGCATCAGGTCCATGCAGACTTAATATTTAGTTAAAAGAAAGCTTTCGCCAACGGACCATCAATGATATTTAGTGTCCTTTACATGTGAAACTATATCGATATCACATTTAATAGCTTACCAACATTAGGCATCGTAAGGATTCATGCTTAATAATGCATCACCGTTGCTAAAATTCTATTATGTGTAACGAGTATCAAGTTCATTTACCTGTGCAAGAATCGTAGTAATATCCATTGGGTTCACCGTCAGCGTAATTAAGGATCGCCACAGGCTCTCCATCAGTCCAGTAGAGGGAAGTGTAATCGTTCTTGAGCCCAATGTACACACCATGGTCTTGTACGCGTGCCCGAGCCACCATTCCTAGGGCAGGAAATGAATATAAACGAGTGTGATCAAATTTCCACCAATAAATTAATTAATTTTGACACTTTCGTGCTTAACATTGTCTGCCGTATCTAGTATTTAGAACGTATTATGAACGTAAATTCCGTAACAGCTCAATATATCTCATGTTCGAAACGTGCGATGATTATGCCACAGCTTCATTGTAGTGTTGATAGAACGGAGTAGAATTAAAATTCTAACTAGGTATTGAATACGGTAAATAAGTACAAACGAAAATTTCACGGCACGCTTGCAATAGTCGACACAGACCTGAATAGGTGACGGAGATAACCCAGGACATATTTTTTTCAGGCGAGGGTTACTGACAAAATATAAAATGCTACCTAAACATAAATTAGATAAGATTTAAAAGTCATCGGAACAAACTCTAAAAAACTAACAAACTCTCTATCCCGTGTTTAGCTTCATTGTTCACATCGCCAGTGGGACCGTAGCTTCCTTCTCAAACTCGCGACAGCTTCAAGGCGTGCATATATAGCCTTTTGTATGTTAGATGATTCAGGGCTGAATTGACATCTTTTATTGGAACCATATCAAAAATTTAAAACAAATCGAAATCATTCAAAAAGACGGCGTTAAATATCATAAATAAATATCAATATAAGGTTGAAGCTTTGCGATAATTTCGAGTTGTAATCTAATGTAGCGAATTAATAGTCCTTAAGATATAGATGGACAAAATGCGGTAGCTTAAAGTGACATCAACGCAAAGAATAAAATTTCTTAGGCATCGACAGAACTTATATTAACGTTTGTATCATTCATAGGATCAATATTTTGCCTAAACATTAGAATATGCGCCGTGCTTTCTTCCCACTTCTGATCGTATAGCGAATAAAATAAATTCAATTTATTGCCGCACTACCTTCTAGTAATCAAAGAATTGGTGTCGTGTGGATAGATACGAACCGATAGATAAACTTCGAAAACTATCTTAATAGAAATGTAGAATTCCATGATATGATGATGTGTAGATATTTGTCTTTAGTATCGCCAATGAGAAATCTTCGCATTTGTGACAGCGACACAGTAAGGAATTTTTATAATCGTTCATTATGATTTGCAAGGTCCTAACTCTTCAGTTAAACCAGTTAAACTTCATTTGGATTTCTTGGATAATTTTAATGATAAAAACTTGTAACTTTTAATGAAAATTGCGTGGTGTGATCCAATCATTATTAAAAACTTATTACAATTAACTCGTTATATTTCAACTCATGGTGAGGAAAAATATCCTGGAGCAGAATTATCAAAACATGGCCAAAGCACACATACTTTTTTCTTATACCTATGGGCCCAAGAAGTTACGTAATGGGTAAGTTCACCTAATTTTGGCATTATCAAAAAATTCGTACGCAAGACTTATCTAAAATTTTATTATCTAAACCACATGACTGAACAACCAATCAGAGGCTCGTGTACATCCACAGTTTAAATTTTGAGTCCGATGCGTTCCAGCTACTGTGATTTCCCAATTTTTTTCCGTTATAAAGGATTCCAGACTTTTCTAATTAGCAACTACTAAAGTCTAAGGATAATATTCAGAGAAATCTTAGCAGCTAAATACAAAATACAATCACAATAACGAAAAAAGATAGAAATTCAGAAAAGTAATGGCCCTCACGAACTTGCGCGTATTACACAAATTCTTCCTCTTCCTCCTCACCATAAAATGCACCTCATAACTCGCATTTGTTGCCACATTTGTTGCCACAATTTACCTCCAATACGCGCCCCATCAGGAGCATCTGTTACCAAATACATGGATACTTCAATGAGGTGTGTACACGTTGCGCGCAGACGTCAATAATAAAGACTTGGAAGCTTCATAATTGCGTGTATTTCTTCATAAAGCATTGAATTAACGAGGAAATTATCATTGTCGCATATCATTGATTTATTGATTATTCAGTGGGTTGACGGAGTGCTGCGCTTTGTACAATTCATTTCGTAAGCTGCTTTCGTTCAAACATATGGGCCGAGGCGATGAGTTGCACTGAAGAATTGCTCAACAGCTCAGCAGGGGTCAGGCCAGGCAAATGAGCTAGCAGTGTCTCTACCCAATAGCGTTGACTGACTGAGGACCGGAACTCTGAGATTGTAACTGGCAACGGAACTGTGATCGTGCTTCGTTATGCTCTTTTCATGTGATGAAAGTTGTTTCGGCGATTTGGCACGTGGTACAGAGTGGTGACGTAGCTTGACGAATCAGGTAGAGGGCTTTGTTGAGTGGGGCTGATCTGAAATGAGGGCGAGCAACAAGAGTCTTAAATCGGCGAGACAGTAGTGTGCGAATAGACCATATACGAGCAGAGAGATTGGACATATTTAAGGCAAATTGACCACGTATAGAGATCCACTTCGACTTCCAAAACTGCCAGACATTGTAGTGAAACATGGATTTTAGTTCTGCCACATCAACGTATAAGATCAACCGGGATTCTCTCCAATGTGGCTGCCTTCCTAGCGACTTCATCCGCGCGGCTTCGTTTCCCGGCACGCCGAATGGAACTTAACTGCTCCCGCTGGTATTTGGGATAGGAGGTTGTGGATTGGGCAATGAGGTGCGTGTAGCAAGTTTGAAGAGGTTGAGAAAGCAGCTGCAGGGACGATGCGATAGGCTGTCGGTGCAGATGACGCTTGCCAAGTTGCGGTTTGCGGTGTGGAAGGTCATTGCTTGAAAGATGCCATAAAGTTCTGCTGAAATAATTGAGAGCCGTAGGTCCAGTCGCCAGCCCTCTGCTTGGGAGGACTGACGAAATTACCATTTCCATGCCCACCCAACGTGGAGGGCCCATCAAGAGTGAACCACCGCCTATGAATATTGTGCGGAAGCCTAGAAATCATATGGCCAGAAGTTCGCCAAATAACTGCGCTGCTGCCCCTTCCACTCCCCGGCTGAGTTGACTGGGGAAGTCGAGATGGATCTGATTGGTCAGCGCGTGCCACGGTGGAAGGTCTGTGGTCAATGGGACGGGTGATGATGGCGGAAGTACAATATGGTAGCGGGCCAGTGCATGCAGCGCCCTCGAGATTGGAGAGAGATAATAAGTTCGGGTGCGTAAAGGAGCAATATTGAGGTACCGGTCACGGCGGTAGAGTGAATGCATAAGGTAGACTGTTGGGCGATGATGAAGGTGAAGGTAGTAGTAGATCGTACATTGATGGCGGTGAGAGTCCGGAGAGAGCAGCTAAGCTCCGCAGTGCAGAGCTGGAAGAGGTGTCGACCTCCCGTTCCTACAAACAGACTCGCGGCAGCGGACGTCGAGGTGTCAGTATCAGTGTAGACGAGAATGCTGATGGGTAAACTGCCAAGCCATATGTCGGTGCACCCTCAGATGTAGGTTTGGTAAAAGCGGAGGACCACCCGTTTTCAGATCCGTTCAGTGCTCTGAGGATGTTTGACGTTTCTGACAACATGTCAGATTCAGAAGACTATCTACGTGGACTCTCCAAGTGAAGGTGGGAGAATCCAGCATGAGGCCTAAGAGGTGGTGATGGCAGATATTTGGGATTGGCATGCCAGAGATGTGTAGAGAAGGCAGAGGATGTATTTTCCGTTTTCGGTGATCGTTTTCGGTGAATACTTGGAGTGCTGACTTTGAAGGATTTAGGGTGAGGGACCAAAAGTCAACCCAGATTTGAAAGTCGTCTATCGCCCTCTGAAGTCTGTCACCTGCGGCAGCCAAAGTTTGTTTGTCACCGCGAACATAGTAGTATAGTCTGCGTAAATAGCTTTACGTTTGGCGTCGAAGGATAATCTCTAAGGAGTACATTGAACAGTGTAGTGGCGCTAGTATAGCACCTCGAGGGACACACGACTAACTAGGGTGTGTTTGTAATGACTTTCCAGGCAGGGATACATAAAAGGATCAGTTAAGCTCGTCATGAATTTCCGAATCCAGCGCAGCATGCGATTCCTGCTTCGTCGATTCTGCATCTATAAGTACTCAGGAAAACATCTGATTGGTCCAAGCAGTATTGGCTTTATTAACTTGCGTTTTAATACGCTCTGACAATTTCAACTCCATATCGAAATAAACTTCCAAATCTTTATCCAAGGTCAAATTTCCAATGATCACTCTTTCGCTGCAACCATATCTTCTCATAGTGTAAGCTTGCTGTTCAATGTTAATTCTTACCGAAGTACAGCATGAAAACGCAGCTGCCTCACATCAGCTCAAACAACTAGACTATCAGATCATCTTGCAATTGTCCTTCTTTCAACGCTCCCTCGACAGTATTATAAACTCTTGTGTCATTAGCTCGCGGACGTGCTATTTTATTGCACTACACTCTCAGCATGAAATGTTATTTGGTGCGCGTATTTTATTTTAATCTTGTTCAACGTCTATGAATGAATTGTTTTTTTTTTTTTCAAATAATTATGAAATTTTTTTTCGATTATACCACCAAAACCTAATAGGCTGGTATCTTTCTCATCGAGAACAGCTCGTGATGTTGAGTATGAGTTGTTTGGTTAACCTCTCAAAACAAAATTGAGTGATGCTACCAACATGCCAAGGGGGTTTTGAAATACGAAATGTTTGAGCTAAAATAATGAAAAAGCAGTTCTAGGCAATATTCGTCGAGTTTACTAAGTCCGACCTTAGAGCCAGGAAGTTGAACTTTATTGCAAGAATGGCATCAATCCTTTGAGTGAAACTAAATTCAGCAATGAAAAAGAATACATTATATGGTTTACTCTAAAACATGAATCATTGATGAGAAGCAATTAACAAAGAATGAGTTTGTTATCAAACGACAACATGATGAATTTAAATAAAAATCTGAGTTATCCTTTGGTTTTCGCGGTGCTGCAACTGCGACAGGTTCAAGAATTTTCCAGTAGTAGAGATAAGAAGGTATCGCCATGGGAATGAGCCTCTCTCTATCGTGAACCAACGCTGAACATTTATCATACGGAGCATATTATGTATGAACATTTAATGTACATGAAGGTTTGTCATACGGAACAAATTTTGGACATGTAAGAACAACCAATGAGTTTTTTTAGAAATATCATGATCAATAACAGGACTTGTGTCTCTAAAATCGACCATCTTCCTTCACAAAAAAAGGTCAGCACAATTATTCCTTCATCGCCTTATTTAACTCAAATTGTAGCTGCCGTACCCTGATTCATTGCTGGAGCGTTTGAAAAACATCGCTTGAACGATGGCCTGTAATGACTAATCAAATACTTTAATTGCACGTTTCAGCATCTAACGCTCCTGGTACTCTAAATACCGTTGTCTCGCAATGAAGCTATTTACGCCAAATAAATTAATTCAAAGAGAGATTTTTAAGAGAAAAAACATGTCCAGCTTGTCGACATTTTTTGTCGAAATGGAAGGTTGCTAGGAGAGCCAGCTGTCCTAGCATCACTTTCGAAGATGTTACATTTGCACATGAAATATGGAAGACTAACTTAATTAGCAATCATCGTATTGTTGTGATAAGGTGATCACGTTTTGGAACTTCCAATTTTTCTTCTATGCATGATAATTAAATCCTGAATTATTTCATTTTCTGTATTTGGTTTCGATCAAGGGATTAAAGACATATTAATAATTTATTTTATTGCACTAGCTACTAGTGTCGGGATATGTGTAATTAACGAATATAGTCTACAACCTTTTTTTCGTTCTCGTTCAATTTACCAATCGTATTTTAAAATCCCCCTTGGCCTGAAGGCAACACCTCTCACTAATGTTGCAGGGCTTCACCTAACAACTCATAGACGTACTAAAACCCGGATATGTTAGGGTTTAGTAGCATAATCAAAGAATAATATCATCACTATCAGAAAGAAATATTCATTAATAGGCAAATCCTATTAATACATGAATCCATTCACTAAAACACTGCAACACATTAATGGAATGCAACAAAACTAACAACTGTCACCCACCGGCACACACGAGTCCGCAAAATCATCTGGTCACACGAAGCCTAAGAAGAGAGGAGGTTTGTGATCGCGCGTCGCTGTTACAGGGGAATCAGGCTGGAAAACCGCTTAACATAAATCAACTTGTACCATATTTACTGACGCTTACTGATTTTTAATCAAAGAATATATATTTCTTCAACAGTATTACATCAGTAAATCAGGTTAACCTTAGAAAATAGAGCAAGAAAAAAATGCGCCTAAATTTACTTTTTGCGGAAACTTGTTTGCTTACGGCAACGCTACAAATTGTTTGTTTGGAAGTAAATCTGTTGTGGGAGATTCGTTTGGCGGTATCCACATAAAAAATCATAGACAGAAAGTGATTTAAAAAAAAGTGTTTTTCCGTATCATCCTCCGACAGCATTTTAAGTATTAAACGAAAATTTCTAGAGTTTTCTGCCGATTACAGGTTACGCAAAATAAAAATTGAAAAATATATGTATCTTCCTCACCGGTGAAGAAAACAATTCCAATTTTACTCACCTCCAACGAAGAGCTGCTCGTCTTCATTGGACAGAGAAGTAAGGTCTGGGACGGACTGGCCTTCGCTGTAGGGCATTTCCTGACAGCGCAGCCTAGCATCGGCCTGTGCTAGAAGTTCATTCACGAACATGTAGCAGATGCCCGAGGTCGAGTCTTCCTCCCACCCTTCTCCACACGAGCCAGAGTCTGGAGCTGGAGTGGTGGTAGTGACCGGACCGAGGGGGGTGGTCGAGTAGCCACGTTTACACACAAACGGTTGAGCTTCTGAGCACGTCATGTCGTTCCAAAATCCTTCCTCAATTTTCATTTCGACACAATTTTCATCTCCGCCGGATGGCTCTCCTGGAAGATATACCATTTATATTATTGCTTAGCGCCGACCATATCATAGCATAACGTACACCGACATAGTTGACCTAGTGATTTCACACGTCTATTATATTTATGTAGACATTTCTGTTTCACAAATCAAAGTATGTTACTTAAATTAATATACACATGTAGCTTATCAGTGTATTGAAAACTCAATCATTCACGCTACTCCAAATCAAATTGACGTAAGAATAATTATCATCAATTATTGTGACTATTAATCCCAGTTATCAGTTAAGTAAGTACCCATGTTCCAGTTTTGAATGACGACAGCATTGCCGTCGGACCATTCAAACACTCCATCTACACGACGATCATTCAGACCAATCCAGCTGGTGTCGTCCAGATGATCTGTTGAGTTAATGAAAGGAGAATATAACGAGAAACCAAATTTGCATAAATAATCCTATCAATGTACAGGTAGAATTATTAACAGTGTATGGAACGAAATCGTGTCAATCACAATCGCTTCAAAAGACTTATAGTATGCAAAAAAAGCTCAAAACTTTAATAAAATATTTTCCATATGTACTCACTATGGACTGTGTCTTGCTCTATCCAAGAATTAATTGAAGCAAGATGTCCTCCCGCAGTCTGGCAGAAAGATTCAGCGGAGCTCCACGTCATCTCATTGCTGGATACAAGGTAGCAAAAGTCTTGATCCAGAACCCAGCCATCTGGGCAGTACTGTTCCACTACACAGGAAAGATAACAGCGAACAGTAACTGCACCCTTAATACATTGGCCCAAGATAAGTTAACTGAGAATTAGGTACTCTGTGTCGTTAACTCGAAAGTTTGTAATCGCACCACCGACGACAATAACAAATTTACTCTGTTGCTTCACGTAATTTTTTCCCAAGAATCTAACTTGTGGAAACTTTTTCGGTCAATCAATTGCAAAGAGTTATGACAATTACCACACAACCTCTCGATTTTACGGTAGTAGAATTCCAACTAGTGAGCTCCAAAGTTTTTCACGCCTAGCGAATAAGCAACTTGTATGAATGAAAACTACTAAAGATATCACATTTGAATTACATGTATCCTTTGAAGCCCAATCGAACATAATTTTGAAACCTGTACTTTGTACACCGAGTAAGGCATAAAGAAGATACGATTGAAAACAAGCTCCACGAGTATACTCTGGTCTATATCGAACAGTTGTTACAAGTTTGTAGAACAGTTGAAATTCGTCCGTTTTCATGGAACATGGGCTAGGTCAGTGCTCACTAAACAGTATTTTACTACATGGTGATTCGTTAACTATAACTATTAGCATTTGGGACTACTTCTTTTGTGTGATACTTACGAGGAGGGACGTGGATGTAGACCGGCGTCCCGGCAGCAACTTCACAAATGTAGTTGCGAGTCTCCGTGCACGTCAGCGGGTCCCAGGACTCCTCATTAACTTCCGTAGAGGCTATAATAAGCAAATTATTGTATTAATAGATACAAATGTTAAATTTCATGTTGCATATTTTATCATAATGACAGATTACTGCACAAAGTCAGGAAAATGTATGTAATTATGTTTGTTAAACGATTTTACGCTACTTTTCCAAGGGAAATTGAAAAATAGCCTCATGAGTAGACATAAATCAGATTTTAGTTTCGCAAATTGCTTCGGTTGGAGTGAATTCGATAAGTTAAGTAACGAGTTCTCCAAGCTTGCTCATAACTCACTATCGATTTGAGCTGCGACGCACTTGGATTCACCCTGAGCGATGACGTCATCCTCATCTTGTTGCGACATGTGAGTGATGTTGTTGGAGTACAACGAACCATCCACCCACTTGAACGCGGTGTTGTTTTGCTCAACTAAATATGAATAACGTAATTCTTGTATTAAGGTATAAAATTAGCACTTATAAAACAAAAGTGTATTGCATTTGTCTTCAAATCAATGATTTTCGTAGATTCTGCGAGTTTTTTTTGTTTCTATTCCGTACCTTTCAAAGTTCCTACTCAGTAAACCTTCAATGGTTTTGCTCAGAGGCATGAAAACACTGAAAGCTAGTCGGGAGGTAAATTATCACAAAATATGTCGTCCAATATTGAATATTTGCACATTTCGAACAAAAAATATATTGCATTAGCTTCAAAGTCAAAATTTTTGGTTGAAATAATAGACGTTTTTCGATGACTTTACATATATATATACATACATATTTATTTGACGGATTTACATATTTCTTGCAGTCAAGGCTAAATATTATATAGTCTATCTGAGAAGAAAAAAATATAAATTGTTTTTATCTAACGAAAATATATAGGATCAAATGATATCTTCAACAGCAGGGTAAGTTCTGCTCCATGGGATTGTTTGGTCGCAACGAAAAGTTTTGGCCCAGAATCAGAATACACACATCTTTATCTTAATGCTCGTAAAATATGAAACGCCACGTTATCCAGTAATAAAAACTGACATTAGGACTTAGATACGAAGGCATTTGTGGCACTTCTACGGAACAAAGCAGGTGGCGAAATGTCCAGGCTTACTCACAGTACAATCCAATCCACAATTGTTCTCCTTCAGATATTTTGCCGCGAATAAAATCATCTTCCTCTTGGGAATCCACGACGAGAAGGTGCGTGCCGATTCCCTGGCAGAGCTCGTGGGCCGTCAACCACGTGACGACGTCCACGTCGAGGCGGTTGAAGTAATAACAAGAATCTCCAAACTCCTCCCAGCCCGCAACGCAGGCTCCTGACCACGAGAAGAGGAAGAATGTTGTGTCGGTTACGAGGCTATTTATCGTGGGTACCACCGCNTAGGGTACCACCGCTTAATGAGACTCAAACTAACCGCTTAGGGTACCACCGCTTAGCGAGACTCAAACTAACCGCTTAGCAGCACCATAGAGTAGGCTGACATTTAACCCAATTGATGTTTAGCATTCAACCCTTATAAAATTTGTTCAATCTGTTTACAACATTCAATAAATGGCCAAGCCGGAAAACAAACTTATCAACTCACCGTACCTGTAAACTTATCACACCCGAAAACTCACCATCTCAGCTAGTCAATATATCGTGTTTGTTATCCTCACACATACGCAGTTTAGGAACCTTAGGACTATAAACATATTTATTGGGGACAATAAGCTTATTTTAATATAATTATAACGGAAATATTAGTAGTGGATTCTTCTGGTGACTCAATAACGACGACGCTTTTGCGACAACTGTCTTAAGTATTCCAATACAGTTTTCTGACTAATTTAGCATCTAAAAAATTTAAACTCTTGACCATTTAACCCGGTGGTCAGTTGCTCATTCGTAACAGGCGATAGCCGTAGAATTTCTTTTAACACCCCCTCGATCTGAACGCCCGCCAGGCTCAACATAAGTAGGACTAATTTAAGACATGCTACATAATTGATCATTATTTTTATTAGATGCAAATTGTTTAGATGCCATTTTTAACTCATAATATATTCCATTCAACTAAATATATTCTGAGTTGGAGGAAATCTGCTTACAGAATTTACACACAAGGGGAATAAATAGAGTACAATGGACATCAAACTTCAAACGAATTATTAAACTGCATCCAGGTGATGAGCAGGATGGAGAATAATTGATGAGAAAAATTACTCAGAAGTTAACATCATGAATAAATTGGACACTAACCGGGTTAAAATGATAAAAAATAGAGGAAATATGATAAGAAATCAAATTTTGAGTGATTCAATATATTATAGTTACCTTATGGCTCTCGTGACCTAATGAATTAATTTTTATAAACCAATTTACGAAGGAATTTGTATATCAAACCTCAGCTAAACATTGGTGCATGATTTCTATTGCAGCTTCGTAAAACAAAAATTATAAGGAGGACTTCAAAGTGAATCAGCATCGTTAACTAATATAATAAATTAGATAAAAAGATGCTAAAGTTGCATTATTAGAGTTTATTGATGATGTTGCTGGTGTTTTAGACAATGAATGATGAAAATGAAATACCAATGATGTACCGCGGAGGCATAAATGATAATTGTGGATACTGACAGAGGTAAAGTTCTGAACAAGAATGGTGCAGAAAAAATTTAAAAAATTCAAGGTAAGTAATCTGAAAACTTGAGGTCACGGACAGACGGACAGACAGACAGACAGACGGACGGACGGACATGGCGAGCACAATAGTGCATTTTTTCCATAAATGAGAAAATGCGCTAAAAAGACTCTTCATTATAAGGCAGCATGTGGATTGAAAATTTCGTGAAGAAAAAATTTTTAATTGCAATGGGATCATTAATAGCACATGTTCAAAGAGAGGTGATGCTAAATTCCAGTGCTAGCTTACAGTTAATGATTGAAGGTAAAAAATCAAATTATCTAACGAAAAGTTTGAAAGATTAACATTAACCGGACACAAAAAATTAGGATAAAAATTATGAGCGACTCATTGTTGTTCGTAAATGACCTAGTCCCTCGTTGATTGTAAACGTTCATCGGTCCATTTGAAGTATATGGCAAAAAACAAACAAACAAAAATATTCTCTTCAAACCTCCAAACAAAAAAATTAAAACATTTTCGTCAAGAAATTCGGCGATGTCGAGCAGTAGTTGTTGTTAAAGGAGGCAAATCTGATTTTTGCAATGTTTGATTTAAATATACTTTCCTCACAGTCAATTTATGCAATACAAGCTAAATATTATCCACAATTAAAGGTGTTTTCATTTTGTTATCGGAATTTGAGTGTTATAGGAATCCATATATTCCACTTTACGCTTGCTTTATTAAGGGGAGCGTCTTGGTCCAAAATCGGAACTTTTGGCTTTTCCGCTTTTTATGCTCATCTTAAAGCTTACATTCTACCGCGTCTAACGATACCAAAATCATCTCTGTACGTTGATTTATGCGTTCACGACAGATCGCGAAAAAGTTACCCCGTGTGAACCCTCTAACCTGACTAAGGAAATTCGAGCCAGGCACATTATAGTGTGCTCTCTCAGGCCTCAGCCTCGGGCTCCAGTTATACCTGAACTGTCATGGGGTGGGTGTTTATGCCGTCGTTCTCTGCATCGATGACTCGCTTCAGAGTGAACTAACACGTAACTTGAATGTCTTGGCTACGAGAAATATCTTTATATAACGCGCGCGCCGTCAGAGGGGGTTTTTCAGCTATCCTGAAAACCTCCAACCGCTCTCACTGCAAACCTATCTCCTCCTAGAGTTTTACAGCTACAGCAATGAGACATATACCAGTCGATTTGCAACAAAAATATCTACAAATTTGCGCAATCGTTCTTCTAATTTCGTTATAGTTAGGATTATATTTTTGCAAAAAGGGGGGTTGGGGGGATAAAATCGAAAAATTTTCGAAAAATTTACCAAAAAGCTCCCACACCCACAAAAATGATAATTTCAAAACACGCCTGCGCAAATTTGTAGATATGGTCTCTACGCATCGAATGATATGTGTTTTGATGTTGTAGCTTAAAATCCTAGGAGGAGATAGATCCCGACAGTACCCCCTTTTTTGTCGTTTTCTAAGAATTGCACGTTGTCTTTCATTTTTTCGAAAAATTTAAATGAACAAAAAAGTCTTAGAATTTTGTTTTACATACGTGTATTAAATTTCAAAGTGATCCGTTCGTAAATAAAAAAGTTTTTTTTCGGACCAAGACGCTCCCCTCAAGATTTTACAGGATGAAGTAAAATTCTCTGGGAAAAAGTTTTCTGCAATATGGTGAAACATGTATGACGTTTCACCACACATGTTTGAATGACGCCATTGAAACATCACACAATTCACCTGTTGGGCGTTCACAAACGAAAATATGGTCGTTAACTGCATTCTCTGTCAACCATTGGCCACGTGCATCTTCGGCATCGACCACTGCACTAGCTGTTCCGCCCATGGATCTGAAATTTAAGAAATTCTAATAACAACAAGTCGGAAGTGAAAAGTGAATGTTTTCTACGTGACCTAGAGGTTCAGCGGGGAAATAGTGACGTTAATTCTTTCCTAAGCTTGAGAAGTCTTGTAGCTTGCATGTTTAGTCTAAAATTCGAAATTCTTCCATGACAATTTGAAGGTATCGAAAACGCGAAAACGATCAGACGTGGAGTGAGCTACTAGTTCTCTTGACCGAAAATCGATTAACTAGAAAAGGCTTTACCGACAAGGCAGTCATGAAAGTACAATCGTCAACCTACTTATATCTGTTGTTCGTAGGAATTATACCCCAATCATGTGAATAAACGCAACTGTACATGGGACTGACCAGATGACAAAAATTGGCAGCAAAAAAGTTGCAATGTCTCTACAAACGAGGGTCTGATATGATATACAGTTAGCATAAATTAACAATATAACTTACAATTCCACCATAGATCTCTGTTCGTTATCCTCAAGTACCGTATGCAAGTGGGTACTGATTCATTTATATTTCTTGTGAAACAAAGTGTATTTTTGAGAACAATTAAGTCAAGAAAATACATAGCCTTTGCAAGACTATGTTTTTAATATTTGATGATGTAATTTGCTGTGTTCGTTTTTATGTCAGTTGTATTTGTGATGAAGGGATTTATCCGAAGATTATTTATCCGAAGGGATTTATCCGAAGATTATTTATCGGAAAGGATTTATCCGAAGATTACTAATAAAATAAGACCATTTCCTTCTAGATATCTTACTCACTGCGGCATGCTTTTATTTTGAGCCCAGTTGGTGTATTCCGTGCTGTTGTCGCCAATCCAATAAAATTGTCCAGCATGGCCCTTAATAGTGGCAGGACAAAAACATTTAATCAAAATTCGAAGCAAGTTCATCCAAAACAACATGAATACCACCATAATGGATCGTGTCGCTATGCGTTGTTTAAACTATTAGTACTTGATTCCTGATGACCATAAATATAATCCATTTAAGAAAATGATTGTTAGGATCAGCTTATTTGTTTATAGCCATCTAGATACTATTTAAACTTTTATTTGTGGTAAGTAAGCCACTGAATCTCATTTGCCGTCTCATGAACTATGTACGGCTGATAAACATTAGCATCATTAATCAAAGATTAGCCCAGCTTTTACTTAACTATTTCTGTCATTCCGATCCAGACGTTGTCGTGGTGCTTGAGAGCTTCATCTAAAATGAAGAACTGTTCCTGATCGTCGTTGATGGTGACCAAGTCGCCGCTGATTTGCTGGCACATCAACTCAGCGTTCAGCCAAGAATCGCGAATGTCTGATACCTGATGGAGGACCCAGCNCGTCCCAAAAAACGTGGGGAGGGCTGTACGTTCACCATCAAATTTCCAAAATTCGTGTGTTGTGTGCTTTTCGCTTTAATCATAAATCTGCCCGACACGCGTTTTTTAGGGCGAGCCATAATTTATTTTCTACTTTTTAGTCCACAAGAAAAACGTGTTTTTTAAAGTTTTTTAAGTATTTTTTTCATTAAGTTTGGCTTATTTACGTTCAAGATGTATGGATTACAATCATCAAGGTTAGGGTCATAAAAATTGAAAAGCGACTTGTTTAGAGTGAGGGCGCAAACAATAAAATCCTTGCTATAATCACGCCGTATCAGCATGCGTAAAAAATATATGTTTAAAAATTACTTTTTAAAGACAACACTTCTGAAGAATCCAGTGTCTCCAATGTTAAATATATACAATGAATTTCTCATTTTATTTTTGAAAATCAAAAAATTAATTTTAAAAATGTTTTAATAAATAAAATTTTTTCAAAATTATTTATTCTGTAAATTGATTCATGCATTGCCTCCGACTTCACACAAGTATGTAATATTTCAGATGGATTGAACAGGTGGAAGTGTGTCAAATATCAGTTATAAGATTTGTAGCTGACAAAATTATTTTGTCATTTTTTTAATGTTGAAAACAATTTTTTCAATTTTCAAAATTATTTATTCCGTCAATTGATTCATGCATTGTCTCCAACTTTACGCAAGTGTGCAAAATTTCAGATCGATTGGACAGGTAGAAGTGTGTTAAATATCGATTATAAGGCTTGTGGCAGACAAACAAACAAACAAACAACATGCACTATCGCTGCACTAAGAGCTACAAATCTTATAAATCATATTTGGCACACTTCCACCTGTCCAATTGATCTGAAATTTGCATACTTGTGTGAAGTCGGAGGCAATGCATGAATCAATTGACAGAATAAATCATTTTGAAAAAAAAATTTATATATTAAAAATTTTGGATATTTAATTTTTTAAATTTTCGAAAATAAAATGAGAAATTCATTGTACATCTTTAACATTGGAGACACTGGATTCTTTAGAAGTGTTGTCTTTAAAAAGTAATTTTTAAACGTATAATTTTTTACTATTTTCGGCGATGCGTATTTTATGTAATAATTAGGACGGAATATTTAAGGCCACTGCCAACCCTGTGATTTGATGCCCGCATGCTACCAATCCGCTTTGATCGCGCGTGGTAAACCAGTGATTTTTTAGAATCAGTTCATTTTTAATTTAATCATTTACTCAAGATTTAAGCCGATGTATGATGATGCTGGTATCCACGATACTTTGTGGGTCTACCGCGTTGGCTGACAGCCGCTGACATCGAGACGCAGCCCGGCTGAGGCGTCCATTTAACGCCAACGAGGGGCACTAAAAACGGCGTTTAAGTGGAATTCATGTACTATCGCTGCACTACTGTGGCATACAAGTTATTGGCATGCGGACGTAATTAGTGTATGGGCTAATTTTTAACTGTTTTTAAACGAATAATTCGTTATAAAATATATAAAGCAAAACAGTTTTACTGATAAGACGATGGCAGATGAAGTGGTACTGATCAGACTCATCGTGACCGAGTAGAGTTGAGTCCGTCGTAAGCACCCCGAAGTTGCCTTCCTTCGGACGCGCGTCTTCTGGACTGCAGGTGACGGATGATAAAAGCGAGGATTACTAACTCAAATGGATTTAATTGTCTAAAATGATGAAAATTTTAATACCCCGCATCTAACATGTCCGCATGTACTGTGCTGATAATAGGTATAGGTATTGTCCAGGGAAATTAAATGATTTCATTATGATATGTTCTAGCGGCTAGCCCATATCTTTCATCCAGCCAAGAGATTAATTTTGATGATTTGTATACACAAAAATGGTTATTCACAGTATGAAACATTCCCTGACGACCGCGCACTGAGATTTGCGTTCATTAGCTCGTGCGAAAAAAGTATTTTATATCAAATTATGTGGAACTGCGTTTTAGTAGCGAGGTATGTGTCACCTGAAAACTCATCTGCTCGTGCGTGTCCACATTATCAATTAAAACTAATTAATAATTATTGGCAATCTAACTAAATTATATGGATGAGTGGAGTTTCTAACTCCTTGAAATTTTATTTCAGCTAATGTCACTGCTTTTTTCACCTCGAAGTGATGAGCTACCACATATGGAACGACAATACCGTTTGGCAATGAAATACTCCGGTTCTGGAATTCCCATAAAAAAACTGAGCAAAATAGAACAATTTTCGAGAGAAGTCTAACTCCCTAGATGTGTAATTTAACTACATCATGCACATTACAAAAGTACCAGGATGAAAATAATACCCTTCAGTACGCAAGTCACGTAATTAATTTCTGATTCGGGTTCTTATAGGATATCCCATGCCATTATCTAATAATGATGGCTGGACACACGTTCTACACACAAAATTCATGACCCTCATATCGAAAATGCAATCATATTTTTCACAAAGTTAAATCACTATTAGCAATATATAATATAACGGACTTATGTTCTAAATGTATAGAGGTCACTTACATTTTTCACTCACTTTTGCGGTAGATAGAATGAGAAGTCTTAGAAGGTGATATTATATCAATACATAAAAGATTCTTGATCCACAAGAATTTTAAATTACCTCTAACCATACATAAGATCAGGTTTTTAATCTGTATGATAAGGTTTTTTACTGGAAAAAATGTCTCACATGTAGTTCAGGTCGACGACATGGCCGTTGCTTGCCCAGTACCATATTTCTGCCGTCTCATTGTACCTGGCGTCTATCCAGAACTCTGAAGAGTCACCTACAATGCCAGACTCCACGATTTGGAGCGATAGCCAGCCCTGTCAGTAAAAGAATTCGAAGACATGAGTTTAGACAATTCAAACTAAATAAAATTTAGAAATTGTTCTTACTCGGTGCATTTATAAAGTCGATTGCTGTTTTGCTTCAGTTTTTGTAACGCTCACAGCCAAAGACAGTTCGCATAAAGCGCAGCAATACTGTAACGAGGTCAAGTGAACTTGGCGATTAGAAACGTTAGTCGGTATTTTGAGTCAATAGAAATTTATAGAACTCCGGCACATTTTTGGATTAACATTCGAAAGAAGTGCGTTGCTAGCATAAACTAGCAAGATTTTATCATCAAGTATTAAAAAAAATATGTCCAAATGCATGCATGCATCCAAATTATCACCCGGCATTGTTATAGGAGCTAAGTCTACGTTCCAGAGACGGATCAATTTTTTCACAGTAACATGCATGGTTAAAATTTTCGAGAGATGTCATAATTTTAGAACTTTTTTTCAAAAATTACATCTCCTGGCTCCATTTCATTCATCACTGTTCCTATGAATTCAGTATGTACTGTATATGCGTCTAAATATAAATATGACTATATATATTTATATATATGTGACTACAAAAATATGTGTATAAATAATAAATATGTGACTAGTTACGCTGTGAAGGAGATAAGCGTTGAAATCAGATAGAGACGGAGAAATATAGTTTTTATAATTTTGGTTGGGCGGCGGCCATGGATTACACTGGGATCGACCGAAAGAGTAGAATATTTTATAATGATTTCATCAGGCGCTGGAACCTGGGCTATGATTTTGCAGAGATCCTGAAAAGAAGTTCTCATTCTCCGTAGATTTTCTCCAATTCTCACATTTGGAAACCCTTTGACTTCTCTGAACCAGTTCGGTGGCCACAATTAAGTGTCTAGCTTTTGGCACGATCGCTCGGTGAGGCCTTGAAACAATTATGTATCTCGAGACAGAGGCCAAATTTCTCAGTGTATACGAACTAGGGTGTCGCGTGTCATGGGAACTCTCTATCTTCGAATGACATTGATTCTGTTTTTTGGGGGACGCAATTCTTTCCTCATAAGTAACATCATGAGGCATAATTTTCATGTTATATGGTATCTGAATAATTAAAATGATTTAAGAAACGAAAACACAAATGAGTGAAGTCGGAATCATCTTTGAGAAATTGTAGTAATTTTTCTATGATTTTACCTTGTTCTTAGCAATTCGACCTGAAAATTTGTATTAGTTTCAACTTACTTGGAACATTTTTTCCAACGTGATCCTAAAAATCAAAACTCCAAAAAAGTGACACAGCTTAGTTACGTACATACGTGATCGAAATAATGGGATTTACTAAATACATTTTGTAAAGCAAGATAGAAAAGTTCTCTAAAAATATTTTCCCGCTAATCACTTTTAAGTAATTTAAGAAGCCATTGAAAATATTTAGGAATTGTAATTTCCATCGAAGTACCGAAACGAACCGTCATGTCCGCCGTTTCAATCCTGACGAGGTTGCCGTTCTGCTTGGTGCAGTAGGAAGTGGCGTCGTACCAAGTCCTCTTGCTGCCGCTGTGGAAGAGGTAGCAGTCGCTCGTGCCGCCTCTCTGTACGTAGCCCGGTGGACATTCGGCCACCATCTCACCACCTCCTGTAAATAGAAATATTCTCATTAACTATCAAATGTTCATCTACGGTAATGCGCTAGTGTGTGTCGCCGGGCTTACAATTTAGTCATTAAAGAAAATTTTAGGAGAGTTCCTTGACCTAAAAGTTCAAGGGTCGAATGATATACGAAATAAGCGGCTGGTCTTACTAACACATATTCTCATTAACTATCAAATGTTCATCTACGGTAATGCGCTAGTGTGTGTCGCCGGGCTTACAATTTAGTCAGTAAAGAATATTTTAGGAGAGTTCCTTGACCTAAAAGTTCAAGGGTCGAATGATATATGAAATAAGCGGCTGGTCTTACTAACACATGTTCATCCTGCTCAGGCGCTGGCCTGTTGATGTTTAGGCCAACGGGCTGGCGAATTTCCGTCAATACACGTTACGTTCGTGTCAACTCGTTCGCGTTACGTGTACGTCAATATCCCTTTACCGCCAAATCGAACTTTCAAGTCACCTTTAAAAAAACACCGGTTTTCTAATAATTTCACGTTTTCTTTCATTTTTCGAAAAATTCACACGAACAAAAAAAGTCTTAGATTTATTTTTTACATATGTGTACCAAATTTCAAAGTTATCTGTCTGTAAATAACCGAAATAAAATTTCCAATTTCCTATGGCAATTTCCAATTTCTTGTGAAAATTTTATTTCGGTTACTTACAGACGGATCACTTTGAAACTTGGTACACATATGTAAAAGATACATCTAAGACTTTTTTGTTCGTGTGAATTTTTCGAAAAAATGAAAGAAAACGTAAAATTCCGAGAAAACAGCCATAAACCCAGTTCGAAATTCTCGCAGTCATTGCGGCCGTTCGCCGCAGAGACGTTCGCAAACGCGCAAATCTAGGCCGTTGTTGCCGACTTTACCTCGCGTCCAAGCAGTCTAGCGACGATATGGCCTCATCTGCTACGAATAGCGCGAGGCCTCGGTCGGCAAAAGCTGCGGCAGGCAACTGGTCGCTCCTCTACCGCGGCCTACGTCGAATATGCCGGCG